TTCGGTATCACTAGTGACCACTCCAAACATCATGATGTTGACTGGATCTATCATCCATCCCTTTCCAAATCCTCTGCACTGTCGACAGGTTGACACCCTAACACACTGAAATGTTCGTACTGGAGCTGTCGGTGTGAATACCGTTTCCAACGTTCTGGCGGAGTGAATTGCCTCATGGCGGTCTTTTACTCACAGACAGTGCCCAACAAACCTTACTATATTGTTGAGACGACAATGTCTAAAACAAATTAGGCGCATGCGCGATATTTACGACAATTTACCTATCACACCCTGTATATGGAATATCTACGGAGAGATATGACAAAACATCAGAACATTTTAAGACGGTCAGCTTGGTTTATACATACATAAACACCCACTCAGGCATATACATATGTACTAGCATCATGGTCCCGAGTTGCCCGTGCCTGATTCAAAAATCGTACGACTCATACAGCAATCACAATCACTTGACTTAAAATATTTTTGCCCTTCCTTGCCTTTAAAGGAGTGCCCTTTGCCGTGCTGATGTTGCTACATGCCTTACTTCTTGCCTATCTCACACTGTGAATTTTTTCTAAGCTCTATACTAAACATTAAATCTGTTACGAAAAAATAACTAAACAAAATGAACAAAAAACGATCAGCTTTAAAAAAGGACTTGTAACTGGAAAAACCGAATGAAAAACAAATACTTTTTCACACCCAACCCAGTTCTGCGGAATCAGAATCAACGTTGAGTTTAAGCAAGCGAATGAGCCAATTAGAGTAAAGTGCCATGAAGATTTAAATTTTCCCACTTGTGACGAATGCAGCTATCGATTTCTTTTGCATGCTAGTTAACATTCGTGTCAGTCAGCTGTTGGCTCTCACGCTGGCCAATAGAATCTTCCTGCCTATTCGTGGCAGCCAGCTATATGCTCTCACTCTGGCCAGTACAAAATGGCCGCAAACTACATGAAAACTGCCGTAGAAGCATGAAAAAATCGATCATTTCCACTATCGATGGGAGTTGGGAAATGCAAAGTCGGTCTTGGCCTTACCGCTAACTTGGAGCATGTGCATGTAAATATTGGTGCAAATGCGTCGAAAATTGCGGCCGTGCATTCGTTACACACACACACACACACACACACACACACACACACACACACACACACACATCCATCCTGCCTTTTATAGATAGAGATTAGTAAAAAAAAAAAAAAAAAAAAAACCTGATTTAGAATTCTACACTACCGAACGATTCTAATACAAATATACATAAAACTAAAACATGGCTAGCAGACGTTAAGTCTAGACATTGACATGTGATATGTTAATGTAATTAATTTTGATTTATGATTCCCACTTATCCTCTGAGATTCCAAGGCATTTTCTTTTAAAATAATTAATACATGGCTATGCTCTTCGCCATAGATAAGTTTTTGACAATCTCGCAGGTCCTGTAGCGAGCTCGATTCTATATAAGTAGCCTAGTGCAAGACTATGGCGAATTGCATGTATTAATGGAGGCTTTCTTTCTTTTTTTTTTTTTTGAGATAGTTATCGCTGAGTGTTTCATATTTCAGTGCCGAGCAAGCTTGTCTCGTTAGATCAATTACAACTGAGGAGTGAGTTCGATCCTCACATGGTGTTCCATAATTTGGGCCTTGTTTTGCATCTAAACTACGCTTATTAAGGGACACTTTAACGTGGTGGTATAGTTAGCAAGCTTGTATCGGTAGATCAATTATGACTGCGTATTGAGTTTGGTACTCAATAGGTGTTCCATACTTGCGACCTTGTTTAGTAGTCACACACACCGGAGTAAATACAGTGTAACCCGGATATAAAGACCCGGATATAAGAGAAGCCCGGATATAAGAGAGATTTTCTCTGGTCCCAAATTAAAGCCTGTGTTAATGTATATAAAATAGGCTAAACCCGGATATAAGAGAAACCCGGATATAAGAGACTTCTTCTCCGGTCCCGACAACTCACTTATATCCGGGTTACACTGTAATAAAGAACATTATATTTTTAAAGAATAAACAAAATTCCTTTTCGATCTTTTGGTATCTTTTGTAAATTTATTTTTACAATCATGACCTGTCTGTAGACAAAGTTTCTGTTATTGCAAGAAGAATTTTAAAATCACATTTCTTTGGCCTAAATGCTGAATCACAAATGATATGAGATCGCACACGAGAATTTAAATAAATTTGGTGGTTCCAGTTTACAAACTATCATCAAAAGAAACATGTCTTCTCTTGCGCAGTACCCCTCTGTTGAAGTGGTTCTGCTAGCTTCAAAAAGTTGTTTTTCCGGGGTAACTTATAAACTCTGTCCAGAAACAAAATACTGTGACGGAGAATATTTCAACTTTACATCCTTTTAATCATTAACTTAAATACAGTCTTAATACTAAAGTCCTGACCGCGACCTTCGATCTGACCTGCTACTCAATCCAAGTTTTCTTTCTCGCACCAAACATCACCCTCTTACTCTCGTGTTTTACAAATATTATAGTCAGCCCCTTCCGCACAATCCAATGGCCAAGTGAACCAACCAATAAGAAGCAAAACCTATTGAAACGGTGTTTCGCATGTCCTCGAGCACAGTTAGAGGGATAACATAGTTATTGGTGTTGAATGGGGTCTTCACGATCCAATGAACCTTTACACTAAAGTGCTGTCTCGTTTTAAGAGGCTCATTCCGTTTTTACCGCCTACGGCCATTTTGATCTCAACAGCAAATCTCTCTTTTTGTAAGGTAATGCATGTGCGCATGCGTGATCAGCTTCACCCTATATGCAGAATAGTTGTCTTGCGCTTTCTGCTTCAGTCAGCAGCCATTAGATTGTCTGCGTTACACATTTTTCCTTTTTTTTTTCTTCTTTTTACTCATCAGAATCCTGGGATGTATGAGTTGTCTCCCTTTATAATATTTTTTTTTCTTTTACGTTATCTTTATTTATTTTTTTACTTTTATTTATTGATTTATTTATTTATTCGTATTATGCCAACCGGGACAGAAATGATCCTTCATTTAGTAGGAGATAAGGAAAAAGAGAGAAAGAATAAGTGAACAGCGATGAGTTGAATGAGTCAGATTGATTCGAAGGAATGAAAGAAAGACTCTTCCTCTGTGATTGATAATTGAGAAAGAATCAGTGAAGGAATGAGAAAAAAAGAAGGAAAGTTAAAATTTTAGTGTGACGTGAGAGAGAGAGAGAGAGAGAGAGAGAGAGAGAGTGAGAGAGGAAATAAATAGAAAAATGGTGAATGAATAACGAAATCAGTGAAAGAGTGGACTAAATTAATAAACGGAAGAAATGTGATAAATTGAATGCAGGTCGACGAAAAACGAACTGACGACTTCCAAACACGGAATCAACCGGAGAAGATGAGTAATATACAGCGTGCGATGGTTAAATTGTCGCCATTTTACATATTTTTTTTCACGCCTCTACGTTTCCTATTTTTGATTTTGTCGACTGCAGAGTATAGTAGAGTCGGTTGGGAACCGTCTGTGAGAAAAAGAGCACCATGACGCAAGAAACTCCGCTAGAATTTTAGAAACGGCATGCTGTACTGCTTGGTATTCGCTCCAGAAGCTCCAATACGAACATTTCATAATGTTTGAGCGTCAATCTGGGGACAGTGCAAAAGATTCGTAAAGAGTTGGATGAGTCTAATGGTAATTAAGAAAGTACGGCAGTACTCTGATCGTTTCAATAAGAAAAGAACTCCCGAATTTATTGATGATGGACTCAGATTCAACACATATTCCTATATCAAGTGACTTGTGGAGATAGTGTTACCCTGGGTCAAGAGGGTGGCTGCTGGAAGACCATATGTATCCAACAACTGGATATTGCATCAGGCCACACAAGCAGAAGAACACAGTCATGGCTGTCAGACAATTTCTGCCACCACATCATCCTTTACATCTGGCCACCTAAGTCCCCAGACTGGAACCCCCTTGATTATTATGTGTGTGGCGTAGTTTAGCGATCGACCAACAAAATTCCTTGTAACACCAAAGACGAACTGAAGGCGAGGATTATGACAGCATTCACCAACTTAAACAAGGAAACCGTCCAGAAGAGATGCAGATTTCGAAGTCGTCTGGAGGCCATGTTTGAAGTCAATGGCGATTTATTGAATAAATTTACTCTTTTGTATTTCAAGATATTTTTGTTAAATATATCTGTTAAAATGAGATGTCAGTGTTATTTTCATTTTTTGCGTAATTAAGACGACAATTAATACATAGGACCCGGTATGGGAAAAAGAACAACACGATTGAAGTTAATAAACAAAGAGAATAAACAAATATTTCTCTGGAAGTTACGAAAGGAATAAAAGACCGACATTTTGGCAGAAGAAGGCTGTATAGGAATAAAAGAAACAACGAAAGAATGGATGATCCCTTAGTCTTACTCAAACAGAGACCCGACTGTATAGTGATTTTATGAGCGTAGCTTAGTTGTAGCACAAGGACGTAAGTACGGAGTACCCAGTGAGGATCGAACTCGCTCGTAATTCATCTAGCGAGGCATTAAACCACGTCGAAGTGCCTCTCACTGAGCGTAGCTTAGATGCGAAATAAGGCCGAAATGATTGTACGCCCAGTGAGGATCGAGCTCACTAATCTGCAACTCACCCCGTGGGGATCAAAATCACTACTCATCAATTAATCTGTCGAGACGAGTTTACTATACATAACACCACTTCGAAGTGTCACTCTCTGAGCGTAGCTTAAATGTGAAACAAGACCGAAAATATAAAACAACCAGTGCAGATCAAACTCACTATTCAGTCAGAATTGATCTAGCAAGATAAGCTTGCTCACCATTGCATCACGCCGAAATGCCAACCGATATTTAAATGTATAGCCAATAAGGAAAAAGAGGAACGTAATGAAATCTATCTGTCTGTCTGTCTGGTCATATTTATCGTTGGCTGTTCGTGACAATATATCTTGGTATTGACACAAGTCTGTTATATATGTAG